TTAAACAAACTACTCAATGCACATTAGATCTCACGTTTTTTTCTCCTCCTCAAATATCTGTATGCTGGGCTGCCTTGGAAGAAAGACACAAAACTGTTTAATTTGTATAACTCTGCCAAATGTTGTTTGCAGCCAACTAATGCTTCATCCTTACAGGAAGTAAGCGAAGCAATTATGTAATATGCAACTAAGTAATATGAGCTATCATGCAAAAATGGAGGGAAAAGTAGTGGTTCTGATCTTCACATATGGATCTAATTTCTTTTGTTATAAAATTCAATTTTCTAGTCTGTCTATATAAAATGTACTAGAAATAACACTATTTGGGGCCTCAAAACATGCCTAAAGGGAATTGTCTCAACTTATTACATTTCTTATTTCTTGCTCAAGTCATATTCCAAAATATTGTATGACAAAAAATAACTGGAATAAAGAAGGACAGACTCCATCATGTCCACATAAATATAGGAATGGTTCGGTCTAATGGCACCTGCTTATGAAGAAGTTCACTTATAGGAATATGGTTACAGATAGAAAAGATCTTTTGTAACATTTATTTTGCATCTATCCTGCTTTATGGTGTATTTTAAAATTTCATGGATGTGAAATGTTATTTTAAGTTACTGTAATCATACAAGTAATATAAATTGTTCCAATAAAGAATCTTCAAGGTGAAGACAAAAATGAAGTCTGACTTCCTGTAAAACGCCTGGAATTCTGATATAAGGATTCCATGGTACTCTGGAGCCAAATGGCCATCAAGCCACAAGGCAAGGATTGGCAGGAATTCCTACTAATGAATAACAGTGGTCCAAATGGAATTATTGCAATTTAAGCTATGCCACAGCCAAACCAGAAGAAAATGAACATGGTTTCCCAAAGTGAATAACAGGGTATGAATTCTGGTGTAAGGCAGCAGCAACCTAGGAGCAGTGCCAAAGCCCCATGTGGGAGGGTCCAAGTAGAGACAGAGAAGCAGAAAACGCCATGAGTTGATGAAGAAGCAACACCATCCCTCCAATTTTGCTCTATTTGAAAAAAATAAAATAAAATCAAAGTTAATGAGTGTATTGTAGTATGGACCTTTGAAACTTCAAAATCTAGCACATTTTCCACCTTAAGGTGGAATTTAAGGTGAATGAAAATAAATATAGCACGTATATTCCGTTGCCTTGCCCAGTTCCCACTTCTTTCCACAGATCTTTTTCTAGTGGACTGCATGCAAAATTTTTAGTGTTTTACAGTTTTTATCTATAATCTGGATAAAAAGCAGTAGGAATGAATTCATCAAAATTACTACTGAAATGTAGAGATCCCTCCCAAAAACCTGTATTCGTGGAGTTACATCCTATAGCACATGCCACTACCTATCCAACTCCCATACAAAGTTCATAGGAAGGTCATCAAAGACTTGGCAAGGTTCAAACCTGGTGCTATTTCTAGACACACTATTAACATGATCTCGAGTGCTCAAAAGTTCACTGTGTCTTCCACTACATTTTACTATGCTTGTCTATTATCATAGCCAATCTATTAATCCTGTGAAGGATCTATGAGGTCCTGTAATAACAACATGGAACCAGAGCAAAAAACAGCTTGGTTATTATTATTATTATTTTTAAACCCTGCTATCTATATGGCTTAAAAGCAAAGACTAGGCCTGCATTGCAATACTGGAAAAACAAAAGAAGAAAACTGCCATATAGCCTGTTGAGCAGTCTTGCTCTTGAAGTGGGAAACCAACAGGCCCTCCACTAATATGTATAAAAGTGACTATTTTAAAAAACAGCTCAGCGAGTATTAAGAAGTATGGCACTGGTCCCCAATCAGCTATACTGCAGTACTATTTTTCCCCTCCTATGGCACTGATATTTATAAAGTTTACTTAAGTGGAGGTGGGGATAAGGGGGGAAAATACCTTACAACAAGAAACAATCTATTACTTGTGGACTACTACAATATCCCTACAATAAAAGCGCTCTTTTAGACATCTGGATCCCTATTTCAAGCAAACAACTGCATAGACAGCAGGAAAGAAAAAGATGGATTGCTTGGATGTCTTTGAAAAATATACTTGCAATTTATTATTATTTATTAAATTTATATGCAGCTCATCTCCCAGTTAGAGGCAACTTTAAAATCTAAGCTCATAAAGGAATACTATTCAGAAGGGTGTGTTTCACTTTTATGGTCCTCATGTGTTTTCTATGTATATTAGTATATTTTCCACAAGGAAAATCCCACACAGTAAAGTTATCTGAAGAGTTCCAGACTTCTCCATTACTCTATTACTCCATTTTCTTCTAGTAGAAAGATGATCTCTCTTCTGGAAAGTCTCATAATGTTCCAGGACCTATTCTGTAAGTGTTTGTGTTAATAATAACCTAATAGACTATGTTCCTTTTCAAAGACATTTTTTTTCATACTGAGCAGAATAGATTATTAAACAGCCTCAGAAGCTTATATTCAAATGTCTATTTAGTTTTGCTTTAGGAAACACTTTTCCTTCAGAAAATTTTGCAATTCTGATTTTTCATCATAATCCTCTCTTGTAATAAATGTGTAAATTCAAAAATAATTGAGTTAAAAAATAAGGGCAGTGTTATTTCTGAAGTACATTCTTTAATTGCTTAAGAGGGAATTTTCCCAGCTCATACCCTCCAAATGCACTGGCCCACAACTCACAGTGCCTAGGCATGGCAAATGGAACTGCAGCCCAACAGGTTGTTGGGAGAACATCTGTCTAAGGAAGGGGGGAAAGTGCGTATTATTCTCTCTGCTCCAATAAGAGAATCAATTGTCTCTTACTAACACAGTGAAATTTAAAATTTTAAAAAATTATTACATTTTTCTCATGATCTTACTCATCTTGACTGTACATATATACACTGTCAACTGCAGTAGGATTAGTTGTAAGGCTCTACCTTGTACATGTACAATACATGACAGTAGCATGGAAGAGCCTTCCCTATTCTAAGAACACATAGTAGAGCTGTGGTGGCGCAGTGGTTAGAAAGCAGTACTGTAGGCTAACTCACCGCTCAGTCCAGGAGTTCAAGTCTGAATGGCTCAAGGTTAACTCAGCCTTCCCTCCTTCTGAGGTTGGTTAAATGAAGACCCAAATTGTTGGAGGCAATATGCTATCTCTGTAAACTGCTTAGAGAGAATTGTAAAGCACTATGAAGCAGTATAAGTCTAAGTGCTATTGCTATGTTTAAAGTAGAAGAAAATGTACACACCCACAGATGCTTTATAAACTTCTTATTTTGTTTCTATTTACATTTTCTAAACATTTAAGCATAGTTGTATTTTTCTTGATTTTAATCAAGAGGAAGAGTATTACAGAACAGTAACACTCGCCCCAAACAATAGGCTCTTTAAAGGGGAAATACTATTAGCAAGTCTTGCCATGGCATCAACTTTTATAAAAAAAAGGAAGCTGGCAAACCTGTAAAAGATGGCCTAACTTTTTGCAACTTGGTACCCCAACTGATGTCCTGGGGCTCCAGGTTTCAGAATGGGCGTTGGTACCTACCTGATACGCCCGTTCTCGTGGAGCTGCGTAGGTACCAGGCTGAGAAAGGCTTTAACAAGAATTCTCTGAAAACATCTAGGGTAAGGTAACATCTTCCCCCACAGTCATCTCTAATATTTGCTATTTTAAAACAGGAGATTTGAAGACATACGTTCTGAGGAGTATTTATTATTAATTTATTGAAAAGGCCTTGTTATTTCAGCTGACATGTTTCCAGTGCCAGCATTTCAGTGCCAGCTTTCTCATTTGTTTTTCTTTTCCTATTCTTAGCAGATTTATATTTTGCTATCCTCAACAAATTCTTCACAGATCTCTATTAAACAAAGCACTCTCCAAACAATAGTGGAAAACTTTCAAACTGCAAAACCGGAAAAGAGAGATTGAGAGGTCTGTGCAATGTTTGTGTGTCAGCCTGTCTGCTGGTACTTTGCACATACGCCAACAGAAAAGCAGCCCTACTGCCAACCAGAACTAGTGATGCCTATCTTCCTTTCCTTTCCTTTCCTTTCCTTTCCTTTCCTTTCCTTTCCTTTCCTTTCCTTTCCTTTCCCTTTCCCATTACAGCCTTTTCAAACTAAAACTGAATTTGTTAAAAAGCAGTAAAATTGTGCCTCCCTTATAACCAGAACTGGGATACGGGTGAGGTTGGGTAATGCCACTGTAGTGTTTGTATATTGGTGAGGATAAAATTCCATATCAGCAAAGCACACATATGGGGATTAAAAGAGAGAGAGGTAGAATCAGCTAGAAAATGGCCAGAGTGCCTGCTTTCCAGCAGCTGTGTAGCTTTTAAGGGTGAGGGGCAGACTGCTGAGCAGACCTGGAGGGAGGAGATGTGGGACCAGGGGAGGGGAGGGGAGTTGGTTCTCTATGTCAGAGCTTTCTCAGAGCTGTACAGGAAATGAGAAGTCAAACAAAGGGCCACTCTGTATTCTGTAATTCAGACACCCTTCAATCCCTGGAGCCAAGTAATTTAAAAAAAACTTTATTATGTCCTAAAACCAGCAACTGATATGACAGAAAAACAACTTGCCACACTATCATACAGCCATTGTTGCCGCTCATCTGTATTTAATGTAGAAAGGAAGCATGTAGAAGCCATGTATATCGTCAAGAAAAACCCATCCAGGCAAAGGAAAGCTTTCAGAAGCTACAGAAATCAAAGTCTTCTGACACAACTAAATAAACATTTCATCTATAATGATATTCACTGCCTTTGCAAGATGCAACTTGTGCCCACTTTGAGACAGAGTGCAAAGAAAAAAGACCCCAATCTTTCTAATTGAAAAGAGTCAATACTGTAAATGATTTTTGCTTTCTGGACACAATTGTAGGGACGCGGAAGGAGAATAGCCCCACAGCAAAGGCTCCAAGTCAGAGGAAACTCAACAGAGGTTTTACAAAGGAAAAGTGGGGGGGGGGGGGGGGGAGGAAGCTACAGGCAACAGGCATCATAAGTTACTACCTTCATACTGGCGGAGAATGCCGATATTGTTGTTCATCTTGTCCAAGTACTGGTAATTCAACAGGTCCATCTTCATAAATAGCATTTAGTGGGCTAGCAAAGAAGACCAGCTTGCTTGCTTTCACCCCGCCAACAGCAGCGAGAACACAGGCAAATAAATGCTCCAGGCTCCTTCCCAAGTTCCACCAGCCTCAAGGCCCAGCCTCCGACTAATCAAAACAAAAGTATATTAAAAATGGAGTGGAAGGGGGAAGGCGGGCGGGAGGCAAAATAAAAAAAATCCTCCTTCAGAAACTCAAGATCTGGAGGCAGAAAGTGGAGAGTAGGTTATGCCCACCGTCGCCACTGAGATTGCGCTGGGGGAGGGTAAGGCCTGGAAGAGCTCAGGCTTCCTAGGACAAAGACATGCTAATTCTCCTCACAGCCCGCTGCAAGTTAACTGCGCTGACATGCAGGCTATGCTTGGTATGACTCCTATGTAAACTAGCTTCCTCTTTCTAGCAGTCAGCTAGGACTGAGCATGCTCGCTGAATCCCTGGAGCTCTTCAAATGTCAGGGATATTTTCTGCACAAGATCAGGCTCTAAATGCACAGGGAGTTTTGAAAGCAAGACAGAGGAGAAGGAGGAGGAGCTGTTGAAGACGGCACAGAAGGGGCCATGTCAGCCTCTGCCCTTACAGGAAGCACAGCTGCCACTACAGAACTGGAGAAGAAAAAGAAAACACCAAGCTGCTTTTGACAGTCTAAGCTGGAAAGTTAAATCAACGTATTGGGTGGATTCATTTCTGAAAATAGAAGCTGACACCTTTGCTTCTTCTTTTTTCCTCCCCATTTTCACATTCCTAATCTATTTTTAATTCCAAACTAATCTCAATCCAAAACACTGCACACTGTTGAACAAAAATGATGGAGTTTTGCTTACAAACGAAACTTAGCTGGCTGTAATACAACTGCCATTATTTAATTCCATATGCACTACAGTTAACCATGCACATAGAAAAAGACTAATATACTGTGACGTTTTAATTAATTGTTGTAATATTTAAATATCTGGTTAAAAGTTGTAAGTTCCCAAAAGAGTACTTTAGAGCGACAGGAACCTGGCATCCTTGTTTCAGATACATTTAGGCATTGTTTAATTCTTGGTTTGCTACACAGCAAATGTTTTCTTAGGATGAGTTGGAATAAGCAATGGCACTTTTGGAGAAACTGAGATTTGGACTGCGACAGCAGGATTATAAAGTGCCAAATAGAAGAGGGAGAACAGCTCATCACAAGGGGCCCTTGAGGGGAGGGGGAAACCAAATAGTCATGTTGAAGTTAAAGCAAGATAAATTTATTTTGGATATCAGAGAATGCTGGGGTTTTGTTTTTTTTTTCATTTTGAGAAACAATCTTGCAATAAACCGTTTCTAGTTTGCTGGATTCCCCCCCCCCCCCACACACACACCTCTTGCAGTTTTTTTAAAGAAACATGACACATTAATCTGCTGGAGGCAATATTGTGTTGAGGAGTTGAAACAAAACTCCTATTTATAATTTATTTTTGTTTTTAAATGTTAGGTCAGATTCTGTCAGATTTATAATTTAGGGAGTTTAATCATATCTGCATTTACTACTTACACCTAGAAATTACCCCAATAATTTTCTTAAGAAGACTGCTTATATGAAGTAATAGAAGTTTAAGATATAAAACAGCAAGCAATATACAGCAGTTTAAAATTATCCCTCTCAATGAAAAAAATAATTGTTTTCAAATATAGTTTCCTCAAGCAAACTTAGCTGATCTCTAAAAGGCCAAATGGAGGTGAAACCTGGTTACAATTTGGATGGGAGACCACCAGATTTCTCAGAGCTATAGACAAGACTGGGAAGTCAAAAAGCATCCCACAAGAAAGAAAGCCACTTTCATGCTATTTCATGTACTTATCCAGAGCTGACTTCAACATGAAGGAGAAATTTCCTTTATCTAATTTTATAATATTCTTTATTAATAACATTTGTTCACTGTATAATCACTTTATTTATCATGTCACACAGAATAGTCTCTAAAAGTCTTTTGAAAATCCTCTTTCCATCCAATTATTCTTAGAATCAAATCAAATGTGTTTAATTAGCTGCATTTTGATTTTTCTGTGATACAAGACTTGGTCACAAATGGATTGAAACTAAGTGACTATAATGATGTCTAGGAGGAATTAAATGGTCTTGTTTTATGTTTATTATGTATTCCAACAAATAAGATATAATTTATGGATTAAATTTGCATGTTCAGACTAAAGTTTCCTTCATTCTGAAATGTTAATCTTAAAACTGTAAAGTTCTTCAAATTATTATCTTACTATATTTTAATTCACCTTAGGTTCACTTATTTTTAGTGATATAAAGCAGTCCAATATCCCATTATGCTGGCAGCTACAACTACCAGGATTATACCAACATATAATCCGCCTCAATTTTCTATACTCCAGCAGCACCCTAAAATCAACATCCTTGTAACTTTATAACTGATCCATCAATCACAGTTTGGAACCACAAACGTTTGTACCAAAGTGTAGCAACAGCAAACACATTGTAATGATACTGTAGAACTAATCCTCTACTCTCTCACATATATAAGTCACATCTTTTGCCAAGCAAGCCCTATCCGTTTTTTTCATTCCCGGTGAATTGAATGACACCAATTGACACCTACAGTTAGATACTGAATTGTTTTGACAACCTAAACAATTTACTAAGGAACAAATTACAAAGAATGTCATTCCAGCTGGATGAAACCAGAAATGAGAAACTGCTAATTGTCATAGTGAGCCATTAGTCTAATATATTGGAAGAAAGAAAGAAAGAAAGAAAGAAAGAAAGAAAGAAAGAAAGAA